CTTATCCTTACTTAAACCCTCTGTAGCTCTGTTCTATTTTTTTTAAACCTACACAATGAGAATAATATCATCCTCTGAACTCTGAATCACACTCTGCTATGTTTCATGAAATTAAATTAACCTGGCATCAGGCCTGTCAAAGCACAGGTTTTCAATAAGTGAATTTTATATTTAAGTTTTGGATTGCTATTAGAGCTTTGTTGTTTGTTATAGCAGCTGTTTCTAGGCTCAGTTTGCCTGCCTGTTCCTTTTCACTCTATTCTTTGGCCTCTGCCAGTTTACTGGGGCCTACTGTCTAGGCACAAATTTGACATGCAAACTGCAGGTACGTCTCCCCACCCTGTTTGGGGAATTGCAGGTGTCTCAGGACTAGTTTTAGACTTTTGTAGCATGAGGGACAGGGAGAAAGGATAAGCAACATTTCTTTAAACGAAGTAGGTTATTACACTCATTTGTAGAACTAGAAAACGTCATTGAAGGATAGCTTTGGGGTTTTTTTTTTTTTTTGCTCATGATTTTATTTTGGTCTTACTTTAAAGAAAAAGGAAGATTTATTAGGACAGTTTCTGAGCATCACACACAGTGGGTAGTGACTCTGTATTTTAGTATTTTCTTAGGTATCAAAAAGGAGATTATAAGCACCGTATGGGACCTCAATAGTAGAATATGGTAGCTGACTAACATGTGGGTTTCAATAAAGCATATATTACAATCAGAGTTAGAACTGCAGAACATACTGTCATTACACAAGTCTACCATCAATGGCTCTAAGTTAATTTCCCATAAGAAGGCAAGAGAAGAGATAGGAAGAGCCAAATGGAAATGAGCTGGAAATCTGTAGACCACGGGCAAAGCACAATTAGATACAGATTTTGATTGACATTTACACAAATCTTCAAAGACTCGGTTCTAAGCATTTTCTATATAAGGGCATGTGGCTGTGACTCTGTACAAGTTTATCCTTATCTCCATGTCTAGAAAATGGACTTTAATTGAACAGGAAGATCAATTGGGTTTACAAAGAGTTTAACATCATTATTTGTTCAGATGAATCAAAGTTACAGCTCCAAACTAGAGACTCGTTTAGATAAATGACGTAAACCCACATATGTCCCAACTACTCATCTCCTGTGTACACATGATGCCAGCCATGTGAATTTTGAAAGCTGATTTTGCTGATTGTGGTGGAGCTGCCTGACTCTCCAGTCAGGTTGAGAAATGTTGAGATGGTTGAAAAAACTGACTATCGCAAAGATTCACATTGAGTGTCAAGATTAATGATAATGAAGAGGTTATGGGGGGTGGCTGAAAGGAATATTAAACATGGAAACAGGTAACAAACTTAAAATAGTATTCCAGTTTAATTCAGTAAGAACATTGTGAGTACTCAGTGGTTGTAAGTATAGGGAGAACGAGCACAATAATGAATAGCAGTGCTATTTTTAAGCAGTTTACAGTTTACCATGAACTGTACAAATCGCTGATGAACAGTTAATAGAAACTGACAAGGGCACAGAGACGAGATCACACTCAGAATGCAAACTTGGAAACATTTATGTTTGACCAGTCTATAACACTCAGTCTTCTAAAAATGACACAGAGAAAGACAGAAATCCAGATGCGTGTTGGGACACGGAGGTCCTCTCGTGGTGTTTTGGTACAGGTCCAGCCTATGGAAGACAATAACGCCAATTTAAGTGTTTGAGTATTGGCCACCCATGTGGGAGACCCAGGCTGACTTCTTGGTTTGCAGTTTGTTCTAGTGCAGTCCTATAACTGCTGTAGACACCTGGAGAGTGAGCCAGCCTGTGGGAGCTGCCTCTCTACCTTACTCTTGCCACCATATCCTGTGTGTTTGTGATTTTGTATATGGGAGTTACCTTGGTGTCGTTTTATGTCTCTTTGCTCTCAAAAAAATAAAATTTAAAATGAGAAATTGAAGAGTACAAGAACGGATGGTCAAAGGAAGGTGGAGGGCAGATTTTAGCTGGCGGAAACACCCAAGACTATTCCAGGACAGGGATGTTGGCAGGTCCAAGAAGACCCCATAGGTATAGCAAGGAAGATGTCCTATGTAAACATAGGTACGATACTAATATAATATATATAGTAATAAAGCAATGGTGTTCATCAGGCCGTTGTAGAGTGTGGCCATCTCCAACTTGAGATTATAAACCACTCTGACAGTTGCCATCTTTGTGAGCTATTTTCTATTAAAGACTAAGTTAGGTCACTGCAGAAGCTCAGAAGTCCTGTATTGTGGAGATGTTACAATCCCAACAAGTAACATCCACTTCACATTTGTGAGTTTTACCTGGAAGGTCAGCACAGCATGAAAGAAGGCAGTTTGGATTGACTGTCAGTCAACCTTCAGAAGTTGGTATTTGTTGGAAGTAGCTCAGATAAAAATGCTTGAAAGAAAGAAAAGTACACTCATCTCATAAATGTACCTAAAGAGTGGCATTTCTTCAGCAACACTTTAGTCATTAAGTAGCATACCATTTAACTTCATGACACTGTACATTTTAATTTTTCTTCCTTTTGTTGATTTTGTTTTTTGGCTTTTCATTATAAGGGGCTGTAGAGTAATTGTGCAATGGAGACTATTATATCCAGATGTGAGGATGCAATATAGTATGCATCTCTACTTCCAGATCAAAGATGGACTCCCAATGAAATTGTTTTATATATATATATATATATATATATATATATATATATATATATACTTGGCAATAGAATGCTTGACTCTCTGCTATTGTCCATTACCACAATGATGGACTTAGGACAGCTCTTGAAGAACTTTACTGTTCTAATAGCTTAGGGAAGATCAGTGTGTTACTAAATAATAGCAATAACAATGGAAATTTTAAAGAACATATAGGTACATCCTAGGATAGTTTTCAAATGTAAACACATACATTCAACCATTGTTCCTGGAGCAAATTCTTAGATTTTTCTATAGTTCCAAGGCAGCAGCACAAAAAAGGAAAGGATTCCAACCTTTAAAGGGATCAAATAAGACTAATTTACAGAATATTCTTACTGGGAAAAAAATCACACTTCTTTCCTTCCCTAATCAAAACTGTGCATAGCTTGTGTTTATTTTTGTACCATTTGACACTGGTTAACACAGTATTTCCCCTAGCTCACATTCATCAGGCTGTATCTAAAACAATTTGCACATTAACGTCTAATAATCATGTGATGCAGTATAATTAAGATGAATTTTCTTTATTTCTCCCACTTCCATTTCTTCTAGTTAATTAGCAACAAATGCTGTCAACGTTTCCAGGAATTTCACATCTTGGAGTTAATTGTAGATAATAGGATCCACTATTCATTCCGGGGGTTTTCCGCTCAAGAGCAAGAGATGTTATTTAAATGTCATGCAAAAGTATATGACTTTTTTCTTCATTGAAGTGTCTTTTAAAAAGTTTTATCACAAAGTAGCTTTGGAAATGAGAAAGATCACTTCGATTTGTCACCTTAACAACTGAACTTTTTTATACTGCCATTGCGCCCCCTGGTGGTAGCAAAGCAAACCATCTATAATTGAATATATTTCATGTTTTTCCTACTTTCCCTTCATAGAAAAGTTCCTCCATGTGAGTAGTGTTCAGTATTGCGCTATATGTAAGTCCACAAAACAAACTGAAGGACATGAAATAATCTGTTTTATTCAATTCTAGAAAATTACATAAATGATTCCTTAATTTTAAAATGATTATTGTTTGAAATTACTTCGTTGTCTTAAATTTGCAATAAAAGAATTAAAGCTCATAAACATATAATGTAAAATGTAAATCAATTTTATATAAAGATAAATGAAATGTTTTAATTGTAGCTACTTGATTATTAAAAATGAACAAAGTCTCAAGCTGTTTTATCCTTAAGCAGTAACACTGTTAGTAGTACTGCTTTTGAGATTACTCCAAGTGTCCTGAAGTAACGAACTTCATTTTTCAAAAGGCATTTTGAGCAATTTTCTTTTGAGAACACAAAGAATGAGTGTAACTGGATTATGATACTGGATGAAGCCTTTGCTTTAGAAAAATAATCTGGGTGGATGGTGGCTCTCTGAGTTTGTTTTTGTTACAAAAGTTCTTTCTCATTTTTTTTATGGCAAAAAAAGAGAATCGTAACAGGAAAGATAGTTGATGCAGTTGTGAACAGATTGAGAAGGAAATTTTGTGAAGAATGGGGTATCATATAAGGGTGAATCCAGAAAGAGCAAAGCCATATGGACAGAAAAACAAAAAGCCAATGATAAAATGCAGTGTTAGCCTGCTAGCATGTCAGCAATGTATAACTTAAAGTTATACACAAAATTTTTTTTTCTAGGGTGTTCAACTGAAAGTCAGCACACATATTTTAATTATCTCAGTTGCTTATAACAAACTCTTTAATGTGTCAAGAAAATATCCTATTGTTTGGAATTCTCTGCGCTATAACTGATTCACCTTTTATCTTCAGCTGCATTGTTTTATCTAAAATATGCATTAGTTCTGAAGCCAATAAAGATTGCTTGGACGGTTGAGTTACTAGAAAAATTATCCTAAGTCTTTAAGAAGTTGCAAGCCAACAGGATCAGTAATGTACTGCACTCATCCTCAAGACTTTACCTAAGTGTTAGAAATAACAGGTCTCATGTTTCTGAAAATCAGAATGACAACCTCTTGGAGTAGAGAAATAAGAGGAAACAGGGAATGAATGGCACTGGGGGTTCTTTGGCAGCATATAGTATATGACAGTGCTTCTGTATGAGTTGTTCTGTGCGTCAGAAATCTTCAGTCGCAGCAGCAATTAGGGAAGATCGTCACATTCTTTCAAGCTTTGAAAGTGGGGGAGGTGAGTGGGGACAAAGGAAAAGAGGAAATGGGAAGAGGGGGCAGGGGTAAGGATGATGGCAGGGCACATCCTGAAAAGATAATCCCTGTACAATCATGACATCATCCTGCTTATGTGTATATAGGAGGGATGGTCAGAGCATCTCTCAGAGTTCACTCACTTTCAAAGCCAGCTGAAGGCAAGAGGCTGTGAAAAGGAGAGAGCCTTCTTCACTGTGTGCCTGACTTCTATGGACTTGGCTTGCTAGCAGGCTGAAAGCGATGATGGCAGCAATGAAAATCCAGCTGGTATGCATGATGCTTCTGGCTTTTAGCTCCTGGGGTCTGTGCTCAGGTAAGTCCAGCTGCGCCTCACAGCTCCTTGAAATGATTTCTTCTTCCTCTCTGAGATGCGCTGCTACTTACATGACTATCCAGGGAGGAGAATCTCCCCCTTATTCAGAGGATGCTTTTAGTGTTAGAAACTGTGAGTGTTTTGTCTTGTTCTGTCTTTACCATTACAAACACTGAGTTTTTATTTCCCTTTTTAAAATTGCAAAGCAGTGAGTGTATTTCAAGGAAAGAATGCTTGCTCCCCTTGGCAGTGCAATCACTAAAAGAAATGCAGGTGCATACACACACACACACACACACACACACACAACTTTAACTTAGAATGGTCAGTATCTAACAAGTACAGAGGCAGTGGCTGTCATCATTAAAATTCATTCTGTTCACAGTATTCTACTCTCATTCTCAACCATTCCCTGGGAAGGCAGTGGTTTCTGCTCTTCTTGTCCCCACATAATTTTGTTTGACTTTATGTATGTTGATACAAGATGTAATTGGAAAATTAGTAGCCTTATATAAATGGAAATGATTAAGCCTTCTTGTGTTTTCTGAGATAATTAATGAGTCTCTAAGTATTGCTAGATATCTATGTATAAGTCATTTTGAAAATAAGATTTCAACACCAAGGGGTAATATGAAATATGATGATCCAATATACTTCATTAATCCATGAAAAACAATTGAATGATCACAGCTAAGTGAAAAATATCTTAGAAGCTAAACAGTCATTTAACTTGCTGTATGCTTTTATAGTACATGAATATGACCATTAAATATTCAAACCCATGCTTTTAAAAAATATTATGCAAGTGAAATCTAGCCAAAGACATATACAATGTGTGGAAACCTGTTTATTTGTATAATGATTAGAAAGGAATTTTAATTTGCAAATCTTTTACAAAAATAACTTTTTAGTATTATGATTTTACTTATTGTGGGGATTTTGGTGTACATTGTCCATTAATGACAGATGAAATCCATCATTTGTTTTGAAGAGCAAATTGCATCTCTAGCAAATAAAGAAAACGTATCGGGTGTGACATGAATCTGACATGAATCTAAAATCTGTAAATTACAATGTAGTTACTTTATGACTTTATAGTAAACATGTGGTTTTGATTTTATTCAGATTCTGAAGAGGAAATGAAAGCATTAGAAGCAGATTTATTGACCAATATGCAAACATCAAAGGTAACTCTTCTTTTTCTCTAACCTCGGGTTGAAGAACAGTTGAACTTTAATTATAAATATGGTGTCCTTTCCTTATGGTAAAGGATTTGTCATCAAGACTGAGGAATTCCTTGGGAGTCACTTGCTTTATGAGATGACTTTTTGAAATTCTGAGAAATTAAGGGTATTGATATGATGGGAGAAAAAGTGTAGTGACTCTCTTTAATGAAGTAGATACATATACTTTATATAGACAAAAATGTATTTAAAGAAATGTGTTTCCATTCCTGTTACGTTGTGTATGTTTGAAGTTACATTGGCTTAAGTTAAATACCATGCTGAGAGTATAGGTAGAGTGATATATTAATTTTTTTTTCTAATGCATCCAGTTGGGTCTATGTCTCTAAAGCAGATAAGGAAAAACTTAATTTTCTTTGTTGCAATAATTAACATAAGTGAGATGTAGACTGATAAGTAGTTTTTGTGAAGTGCAGTTATTCCAAGCTTTCCTGTGGTCAACTGAGTGTCCTCAGTACTACAGAGTCCAGTAAATGTTTTTGAACTAACAAGTGGAATTTAGAACTAATTATTAAATATCACATTTTGCATTTAAAAACATCAAACACTGTACCACAAACAATTTGTCATTTTTAATTTAGAGAATTCCTGGACTAGTCATACCATTTGCTACGCTCATATGAGTGTAGTGTACTATAATCAGTGATGTTGGTTATTTAGCTTGGGTTATATTTTTAAAATTAGTTCTTTTTAGCATTAGCTAAAAAGACAGCCTTGGTCAAGAATTCTGTCTCTTGGACACTTTGCAGCCATAATGGAATCTCGTGATATTGAATAATAGTGTTGCACGAAATAGTCGCCATTTTAATCAATAAAAGAGAACAAGATTATTGGTCCAGCTTCCTCATTTACAAAACCAATGTTTAGTACTAGTGACAGATGCTCCATGAACAATTTCTATTAGTGTGAGAATATTGAATACTGCATCTGGCATCCATGAATAGCTGAATGTGAAAAGCATAGAGGATACCTAAATTCAGGAAAACAATAGATTTATTTCAAACTCATTTTCGATTTTACTTAACAGGGATTTTTTTTTTTTAAATAAATGAGTGTAGAGCCAGTGTTTTCAGGAGTAAATTTTGGAGACCATAAAATAGGTTATCTGTAAAGGGTTTTTCAAAGGAAAATTGTTAGTATTTTATTAATTATCAGATTAAAACTTGCTGGTACAAAATGGAGCATGGTGCCTTACATATACTTCAATAACAGAAGAGTTCAAACTGATAAGATAATCATAGTCAGAGGTGTAGTGAAAGGATTCCTGAACCAACTGACAATATTATAGTAAATATTTTTATAATCACAGGTTCACATGAGCTTATGATAAAATACTACTCAAAAATTATGCAGATTACATACAGTTTATATATATGCAGATATACAGTATATATATACAGATTGCATTATATATATATATATATTCCACACGACCTTTCTTTCTTTTCTAATGGTATATTTATTTGAAATTTAGAAATAGAAAAAAAGGGAAAGTGTGGAAGAGAGAAAGGGAGAGAGAGAGGATGAGTGCCCCTCCATCTGCTAGCTCATTCGCCAAATGGCTGCAGTTTCCAGCGCTACGCCAGGCTACACCCAGGAGCCAAAGGTTTTTTCCAAGTGGCTGGCAAGACCCAAGCACTTAAGCTATCTTCTGTTGCTTTTCCTTGGCCATTCAAAAGGGAGGGAGTTCAGAAGTGGATCAGCCAGAACAAACCTGTCCCCATAAGGGATTTCAGAGTGGTGGCTTGTATCCATCATACCACAATGCTGGCCCCCCAAAACAGCGTTCAAGAAGCCTGACCAATACACTGAGCAACAGATACTTGGCAGGATAGTGCTTTGTTCCACGTGTCCTCATTACACCTGAGTGTCCTGTATTTTGTAAGTCTTCTAATCTGAGGGCAACCAGGCTAAAATCATTCCACATATTTCTCTTACATTTGTGTTTCTGATGAGTGATTACATGAATTTTTTGCTTCTGTTTTAAAGCCTTTTCCTTTTTCTAAAATTGAATTTTTAATACTTGTGTTAAATATACTAACATGTCATGTCAATGTTTTCTTACTTTTGATTTTAGCTCAGGATGTTGTGTGTTTCCATAGATATGGGTGATTTTTGTAAAGATAATTAAAAATTATCTTTGTCTTGCTAGGTTCTGTTTTATAAGTATCTGCTTAACTGGTATCATGCCAAGCAGTTGTGTTAATTCATATTTAGCCTCATTGGATATTGCTTGAATATAACACATTTAAAAAGTTTATGACTGTGGGCTGGCGTTATGTCATACCATACTAATCCTTTATTGTAACACCAGCTCAAGTCCTATTTTTGATCCAGCCTCTTCGTAATGTGGCTGGGAAGATAAAAGAAAATGACACAAGTACACATGCCATCCATGGGTCTACCCATAGCCTCTACCCACCTGTGTAGTTACTGGCTCCAGGTTTTAGACTTACAAAGCCTTGACTTTGCAGGTGTCCAAAGAACGAATCAACAGGTGAAAACTCTCTTTGTCTTTCCTGTTTTTTTTGTTTTTTTTTTGCCACTCTGACTTTGAACAAATAAATAGTCATTAAAATGTCATAGCTATATCGAAATGCAGACTGCTCCAAAGTCTTTGGTTTTTTTCTTTTTCTTTTTATACCCAAAATATTTTAAATGAAACTTTTGCTATATGCTATACATACGTGTGCACTTGGGACAATTTTTGAACACTTTGTTCTCTTCCTTTGGGTTTTGTGCTTATAGCTGCACTATTAACTCACGTCTTTGATTACTGCAGCTTTAAAATGCACTTTCACACTTGATAGAATAAGATTTTCCTTATTAATTTTTTGTTTTCTATATCTCCTTGGCTTTTCTCCCTCCCTCAATCTCTTAATAATTATTCTGCCAAATCCTTTTCTGCAACTTTCAGTGTCCCCATGTTTTTCAAATTAAGACATTAATTTGCAATTACATTGTTTTTTGAAGAGCAAATCAGAAAAAAAATACAGGTTGATATTATAATTAGGTGTGTCCATTATGCCTTTGTGGTCATTAAAATCTTACTTTCACATCTCCCTTGGGGGAAATGATGTTTTTATTCCTTTGAGTACTTTGAATTTTTTGTTCATTTAATTGTTTCAAAGCTTGGCTTTCCTACTCCATGCGTTCTGTTAATTATTTCTGATATGCAAGCACATTGATGATCATGGCAAATATAATCTCAAAGTATTATTAAGAAAAGAAAAGAACTCCACAAAATATTATAATTTTCAACTAAGTAAGTTGGTCAGCTCTAATGCTTCCCTGACTGGCATTAACTTGTGGAATATGCTAACATCTTCACACTGTTGTAATTATCCAAATATATTCATATCATTATAATCCTGTATGTGAGACACTGAGCTGAAATACATACAAAAAAGAGAAAATTGTGTTTCTTGAAATTTTTTGATCTCTAATATACATTCAGTTATATTTCTATATTTGTCCTGATTATCATTCCTGCTGTCTCATTTTCATAATTTATTTTGTGTGTGCATTTTATGTTCAATTAAACAAAGATTGCTATTTATTTGACTCTGTGACACAGTTATTGTATTAGCAACATTGTGTTTATTAACCTAGAGTACAATGAAACTCAAAAATGCAATGAATTCACAGACCAGAAATGCATTCATGTAATACAAGTTATTTCAAGTAGTTGTTTTTTTTTCTTCTATATTTCAGATCACTAAAGCAATTGTTCCCTCTTGGAAAATGACCCTGCTCAATGTTTGCAGTTTTGTAAACAGCCTGAACAGTCAAGCTGAAGAAATAGGAGAGAATCGTGAAGAAGAGCTTGTTACAAGAAGGAAATTTCCTACCTCTTTAGACGGTTTTAGCTTGGAAGCCATGCTGACAATATACCAACTGCAAAAAATCTGTCACAGCCGAGCCTTTCAACACTGGGAGGTAAAATAAAAAATTGAGTTTGAATATAATCTCATCTAAACTAGTTATCTCTCATTTGTATTGATTTTTTTTTATCCTGGTCATATCATAACAGGAAAAATTACAAATATTTAAGAAGAATAAACCATGTGTTGAGGTCAACATTCTTTCAGATCTTCAAAGTACCCTTTAAATATTTGGGGCTTAGAAAAATATTTTTCCTTAAATCTTAAAAGGGGAATATATTTTAAGGCAGATTTGATCCATATGTTCTGTTGTGCTTAAATGGATGACATGTTTAGGCAATCTTTGCTGTTGGTAGTGTTTGTGACATGTCTAAGAAATTTAAGAACCTCAAAACTCTTGTGTATACTTATTTATAAATAAATGCAAGATGCAAAGGGTTCCAAATAAAACCAGAATAAAACACAAAAACTGCATTCAAATATATTCTCATGTATATATATATATATATACACATATATATTTATTTATATAGAATATATATGATGGGGAGATATATTCGTCTTACTCCAGTTTTACTTTTAATTTGGAACATACTATATTTGAATACAATAGGCAAATAAGATCATTTTGAAATTTGTATTCATGCATAAATGATATTTATTTCTATCATTTCATTTTTAGCCAGCACTTCCTTAGCTTAAGCTTATTTATAAAGAAACACAAAAAAACTATTTACATGTGCTTTCAGTCCTGTTTTTAAATGTTTGTGAATTTTAAATAATCTTAGCAATTATACCAGGTCCACTAAGGCTAAGACAGCTAAATTTCATAATACAGAACTATAATGGAAAACCAGATGAATAGTTATATTAAATGTTGTGCTGGTACTCTCAACATTTTGTTGACAATATTTTCGTGTTTGGAAAATTTTTAAAGTTTTTGGTTGCTGATATGTGATATCCAGGACCAGTCACTAAAACCAGGTTACTTGAAAACAGTTAATTGTTGTTTCATGAATTTACATAGTTTAAGTGTACAGCATTGATCTATTAGTAAACACAATGATAGATTAAATAGAACATTCTACTCTTACCTGAAAAATAGCTTGTAAAGATAAAAAATAATTTTCTTCAAAAGATAAAGTTCATGTTCACTAGTAGCAGAATATGAATGACTTAATCAAGGAGATTCAGAATCGACGATTTTTTCATGTATATTGGGAAGTGTTCAAATTGATCACATTCTGGAGTGAACATACATATATGTTGTTCAAGACAGGAAATTATATCACGAGAGTAAATTACTAGACTGAAAGAGAGTTTTTTGTTTTATTTTGTTTTGTTTTTTGTGAGAAGCGACAAATTTCTCAAGCTGTATTATTCTAGCTTTCAACATAACTGGCTACAAACATCTGACAATTTCAATAGTTCTCATCTTTATACACACAAGTTTGTGTTTCGTTCTCCAAATACTGCTTCTGGCATCATCCTCTTCTCTCCAAGAGGAGACATAATGAAGCATGACATTGCTAAAGGTAGGCTTTTAAAGGGCTGACTTTAAAACGGCAAAATATTTGCCCAGTTTAGTAGTTTAATAATTACTAAAAATAACAATTTTGCAAAACACTGCAATGGGCATCTCACTATGCACTACTGTAAAAGTTAAGCTAGTGCATTAAAAAAATAAGAAAAAAAGTTAAAACTAGAAAAAAAAAGGACAAATACTTTAACAAGCACACAATAAATTTTTCCAAAAGGGGAAGGGGTTTTTTTTTTGTTTGTTTAGAATAACCTCAAAGGGAAATTTGCTTAATGATTTTATATTCTGGGTTTACACCGACGCTGAGGATCTAAGGGTGACTTTCCTGCTGGTATAAAGGACTAGTTCCTAACTAACATAAAGATACCCTGTGGAAAAGAGGAAATGCAAGCAAAACTCCTAGTGTTTATTCTAAATGGTAAACAAAAAGATGTTTTCCAGATGAAAAGTCAAAAAGGCCGGTTTTAATTTTGCTTGTTGTGCCATTCATCCTTTAATTTCAATTCCAGCTAAATGGCTTAATCTTAAAATATTGTTTAGGCCAATAAAACTTATAAAAAGTACAAATCTTGTAGGGAAGTCTTAATTATGGGCTATTAAAAAAAAAAGACCCTCAACACATGTAAGCAGACAAGTCAAGTGTACATAAGATTAGAACTTTTGTTATTCTAAATGTTATTGAGTGATTTAAAAATAAAACAATAATATTATTCTGAGCATAGTACAAGTAATTACAGACTATGCACAGAGAAACTAAGGATTAAGAAAATAGGGTGTCTGACAGTAGCTGTTTTTCCCTCTCTGAAATTGAATAGCTGTGGGCTGAAATAAAATACTTGGTGTCACGATTTTATGCGCAAGCGTTATAATTTAAATGCCAGTATTAATTGTAGTGACCCCAAGGGTTAGATGACAACCACAATTCAAAGAGATCTTAACAGTTTAAACATAGACTCTGTATAGGTTGATTTCTGCAACAAATGAGTAGTTAGGCAGAAAAGTCCCATTATTTTTGCAGCCAAACTTGCTTTGTTGAATTCAAAACTGCATTTGTTGTAAATCTATGTATCTGTAGATACATATGTATATCTATATGTGGATAGATATATACACAAATTCATATGAAAATATCTACATGTATTTATACATACACACATACATATCTCTTACCATTTTGTCTCTTTACACAACAAATTCAGCCTGAAAAATACTCAGATGTCCTTACGGTGTGTTCTTTCAACTGGAGAGATTAGTGTGAGGTCTTAAAATATGTGTAAGTTTTTGAAAAGAACTAGCTCATTGAACCAGGAAGAATCCTGAACGGAGATCCAGATGCACCTTGTTCTGGTGCTATCACAGATATCAAGTTCTTTGCCAAATTTGATAACTGTCTCTCTTCAGCAAAACAGCTTCTTTGAGCTTCATGTATCCTATCCATATATGCCTTGCCATCTAAACAGGAAATGTGATGCAAAACAGAAAAAAAAATGCCCTAAATAAAAATTTCATACACGTAACTTGTATTTATGTTCTCTATCTTATAGCTAATTCAGGAAGATATTCTTGATAATGGAAATGACAAAAATGAAAAGGAAGAAGTCATAAAGAGGAAAATTCCTTATATTCTGAAGCGACAGCTGTATGACAATAAACCCAGAAGACCCTATATCCTGAAGAGAGCTTCTTACTACTACTGAAAAGCACAGTTATGTCACTTAAGTGTGATTGTGATTTATCATTCTTAAATATCAAATTATGTTTGTGTGACATTGTGACAGAATACAGTCATTTGTCTCTTCTATGATTTTTTTGGATGTGACTTTTCTGTATTAATATAAATTGAACTAAATGTTTTCAAATAAATGTGAATCTTGAGCATGACGCTTTGTCTATAATTGGAGTAGCTGTTAGTTGAATCATATATAGAATGCTTTGAGATTTTGCAAAACACATTATAAATTGCTCAAACAGTCAAACTGTTTGACATTTTACATCAAGTTATAAAAGATATAACAAAATGCTACAGCAGAGTCTAGCCCACATGTCATCAACCAAAAACAAAGAAACAGTACCTCTTGTCGGTATCTGATTGAATGTTTTATTGGATTGGTAGAAATACTCTTTTCAAAACTTACCCATGCGTCTGTCAGATACAAAAATGTAGTTGTCATGAGACAGAACCATCTGAAGGAATTATTGTACTACTATGAGTTATGTTTATCTCAAACATGAATTTTAGTTGAAATTGTTAAGTGAATTTGATAGCCAATAAAAAGACAATAAGCCGTTAGAATCCTCAATTTTTTTGAAGATTTGCTTTCATTGGAAGAGATATTTTTTAGACCTTTTCACATTGAGCCCATAAATGAAAGCTTTATTTTTAACCTCATTTAGGTGTTATGTAACTAATATTATTTTCCAAAGTAGGAGGGTATATTTGTGGCAAAAAGCTATTCTTGAAGCAGCGCTCTCTACATTTCACTCAACATCACATGAACACTCATAACATCTACATCTGCCCGTAAGTGACTTTCTGGGCTTCTCTTAGTGGAACCACTGCTGCAACCCTAGGTCATGCTCGTCTTTGAGGATGAAATCCAAATTTCAGTTTTTTTGGAATTAAGGAATCTTTATTTAGTATACCATATCCTTTTCATGAAATGACCCCTCTTCTAGGTTTAATCCCATTCATGACAGCATTTAAAAGAAGCCCATGTGCATTTCATTTTTTTCCTTATAAATCTGCAATTTCTCAATACTATAGGTCCATTGATATTTACCATTGCATCACCCTTAATGTTAAAGTGTCTGAGAAATAGACCACTAAGAAGGAAAATATCACACACTGATCAAGAATATGTCCTCTGGGGTCAGAATGGCCGGAATCAGCGCCATTACTGCCTAATAATGTTGAGTAATTTATTTAATTTCTCTGTTATCTCATCTATAAAATGTGGGTGTTAATAGAGCTTGAGAGATCAATTCTTGGCCTTTTGACTAAATGTAGAATTTGAGAGAAGATGAAATGGGTTGATTTATATGAAATATTTAGAGAGTTGTAAATCATAGTAATAACACCAGCTTTAATAGTCACCACTAGGAAAATTTTGCATGAGGAAATACCTATGATATGCTCCATCTCTTAAACTTTTGCCAACAAAAATTCATCACACCTGCCTATATTACATATTATCACTAGAACTCTATTCTAAGACAATGTCCATCCTTTTCCATTTTCATAAACAATTGTATTGTCTTCTGCTAATACTTCTTGTCATTACTTTCCCAAGATGTTATTCAACAATTTTGCAGTACATTTTTCAACCTTTACTTCACACTTGATAATACATATTCCAAAAGGGAGGTAGTTATGGCCATTTCTGTGGGGCTCGGGGGCAAAGAGGTCACTAAGCCAGTAAGATGGCAACTAACAGTCCAGGTCACTGATGGGCAAGATGGCGGCCAAGGACAGAGCCCTGGGTTTGAACCAGGGCAGGAGTCACCCAGCTCCAAGGAAATACCGATTGGCCAGGGCCATCTCGCTCACCTACCCCTGGCCTTTGGGAGGTGGCTTCCACAGTCATGCTCCTAGTAACTGGCTCCTAGTTTCTCCCTTCCTGGAATTCCTGAAATTCCTGGCCTGAGGCTATCCCTTACCCTATATAAGAAATTGAATTTCCCCAATAAATTAGAACTGCTTAGACAGAACCCCTGTCTGTTTGTCTCTCGCAGGAGGGGAGGCTGGGTGGCGGGCAGGCTCATCCCCTCCGGCAACGGGGTACTAGAGGAATCTGTGGGGGAGACCCCGCAGATTCCTTGTAATTGTCCTTTTTTTCCCACACAAAACATTCTGCAAGTTATTTAAAACACCTAGCATAATTCAATTGCATCTAGTACCATTCTTTGTTTTAAATACTAATATTTTTCTGGGTAATAGACATCCTTGAGGGGCCATCAGGTTTGCTCAGAATTTCTCCCTAACAAATAAATTTATCTAATAAATTTTATTTATTTATCTAGTATTTATCTAATAAATTTTACCTCTGATACTTATGACTTTTTCATACCCTCACCGCTTCCTTGAACTGTCCTATCCTTAATTCCATACCTGATATTTTAATTATTTGACTAGAAATTAAAAACAAGCATTGGGCCCAGCGCGGTGGCGCAAGTGGTTAAGGTCCTCGCCTTGCACGCCCGGGAGCCCATATGGGTGCCGGTTCTATCCCGGCAGCTCCACTTCCCTTCCAGCTCCCTGCCTGTGGCCCGGGAAGGCAGTCCAAAGCTTTGGGACCCTGCGCCCGAGTGGGAGACCCAGAAGAGGCTCCTGGCTTCGGACTAGCATAGCATCGGCCGTTGCGCTCACTTGGGGAGTGAATCATCGGACGGAAGATCTTCCTCTCTGTCTCTCCTCTCTGTATATCCGCCTTTCCAATAAAAAAATAATAAAAATAAATCTTTAAAAAAAAACACAAGCATTGTATTATTGTATTATTCTTTCCCTCTATTAATTGTAACAGTTGTCCTGAAACTATCTCCTCGTTCCACACTCTTTCTTACCATTTCAATGAAAGTTTTTCTTTTTTTTTTTTTAATTTTGCCTTACTTAAAAGAAATTGAAGATTTAAAAAAAAATTTTGTTGTTAAATTTTGTTAAATCTGGCAGAGAGGCAGAGGCATAGAGAAAAAAGTCTTCCATCTGCTGCTTTACTACCCAAATGGCCTCTACAGCCAAAGCCAAGCTGATCTGAAGCTGGGAGCCCAGGGTTTCCTGCTGGTTCCAAGACTCGGGCCATTCTCTGCTGCTTTTCTAGGCTCTAAGCAGAGAGCTGGGAGCAGAACATCTAGGACACAGAGTCCTTACAGGATACCAGCACCCCAAGGTAGAGGATTAGCATGCTAACTTACCGGGCTGGCCCTCAGAGATTTTAACAGTGTCCAGTCTGCTTATACGTTTATGAAAATTCTTTTCGTTTTTGCTATGATGTTTTTAACTTTCAGCATTTAATTCTAATTTTTGTAATTTTTACCTCTCTGCTAATTAATGCAGGTAAAAATGAAGTATAATCAACTTTAATGATTTTAATAACCAATATTTTTATTTTATATAAATATAATTAACTTAAATATTTTAATAATTAATAACAATTGGGAAAAAATTCACCTCTCTGCTACATTGTCCATCTGTTCTTGCATGACATCTGCTTCCATTGAAATTGTGGCACATTAAAATCAACAGTTTTGCCATATTTGAATCATATTATGACACTTCATGTATGTCTTAAGACCATACCGTAAGTATGGCTTATAATTTGCACCCTGGTAGCTCAGCATGACGTACCGTGTAGGCTTTCCTTTGTGTGGTGCTACTGTGTGAGAGGCATGGTAGAACTGATTAGATCTAAAGCTACTTTTTCCCCATTCTAACTGGTCAGAAGTTGATTTCTAATTGGCCTCATTGCTTTGAGACCGAGATGCTGTGTCACACCTTGGATGTATTTTCTAACATTCAGTTCACCATCCAAAGCCCTGGCTCTTCTGTGTTTCTCCTGGACCATGTTGTAATACTTTGTGCAAGTCCCTCTTAACAAAGCTACCACATCATACAATAACATAATGTTGTTTCTGCAGAGATTTCAAATATCTGTAAATTATGCACTCCAAAAAATGGGAAATAAACCAAAAGCATTGTTTAGCTGAGATGAGGAATGGTTATAGTCATGCCCTCTTATCTTCTTCCTTTGTGGATAACCATATTAAAATGATATCTGTAAAGAACCAGTTCTACCCTATTGAAGATGCAACCGTCTGATCCTTTCTAGATACCAGGATTCTTCAGGAACCAGTGCTGAGGTTGTTATCTCACGATGGTGGCAGGCTCTTCCTCAGATTCTAGCGCCGTTAGTGTGTAATGGCACAAGTGACTTCAGGAATTCACTGATTCAGCTCATTCATCTTGAAAGGCATGTGTGATTAAGTTTTGAGAGCTTCTGTGGCTGTATGATGTTTATCCAGGAGGCAATCTTTGCTTAAAATCTGTTACAGTCCAGCTAACCTGCTGAGCAAATCGACTTGCTTTATGGCTCTGTTGCTGGTTTGATATAAAGCAACCCAATTTTTTCTCCTACTGAGAACCTTTTAGTGCTCCCAAGCTTTCTGTGAATGGTTGCCTGTTTCACCTTGTCCCAATTTATAACGCTTTAGACTTTTATAGCACATTTAATGTATAAACTCTCACTTTTGCAGAAGAATTCATATGAGAACTGAAATACCAGCAGCCAGAAATATGTACAAATGAATCTAAATAAGAATTTGGAGTGCTCTCAGCAGAATCCTGGGGGAGAAGTAAGTTAGAGAATTCGAAGCATTTCTTGTGATTTTGTTATTGGTAGCTTTGAAAGGATGTGTGACACATTGTGATGTGTGGCTGCATTTACCAGGGCGCAGCTAATGTAAGACAAAGAATCTGATATTTACTGGAAAAGGCTTTTTTATATCTGTGGCTTTGAATGTGATGAGTACTAAATTACCCTACCTTTATGTTTGTCAGTTAATTCCTATGCATTTAAGAGCTTAAACTCTCCTTGTAGATAGAAGCCTGCTGTTTAAAAGTCTTCAGAGAGGAAATTTGACTCACTTGCTCTTCTTAACCAACTCTTCATCAGGGCCAACTGCCTACAGACAAAAATGTCTTCGAGATACTCAGTTCATTTCTTTCTGAAATCTTTTCTTGATTCAAAAAAAGGTGCACCAGTGAAACCAAGGATGGGCTGTCAAAATATTTTCACAAAATTCTGGAAGATGATCACAAAGATAGCAGGGTGAGTTCCAAGACCAGGTTATCTTACTAACAACAACATGGTTTTGTATTTAAAACCTTG